GCTGACTGTGGGCCCGAGACAGGCTGAGGACCAGCCTGGAGAGAGTGCAGGTGCCAAAAGTGAGCTGGCGATGAGTGGTCCGTGTCTGGGGCAACATGGCTTCATATTGTGCCATAATGGGGACTATCATGTACTGGACTCTTGCCTTTTTAAATGCTGCTTAACTTGAAACATGCCTCATGTGGATGGGTCGTTTGAAGGACTCTTCACTTTAAGACTCCTTTGGCCAATCAACCAACTTTGCATAATGTGGCTTTGTCATCTGTGAGAGACAAGAGTCTTGGATGGTTTCTGAGCTAGTCTGTAACTGACCCTTGCCACATTCACATGCACGTGAGCATGCATGCACACACATTCACACACATGTTCAGTCTGCACAATTAGTCCTCATCACACGTCAGCCAGAGCTATGTGAGTCCCCCTGCCCTCTGGGCTAGGGGGTGCAGGAAGGCAGGCCTTGGCCCCTCTCCCGGGCTGCTGCACTGCGCGTGGAATCTAACACACTGCCTGCCCAGTGCAGGTGCTGAATTATACTTGTTGAATGGGATTAAATAAGCCTCCTCCTCAGGACCGAGGGGCATTGAGGAGGTGTCTGTTTGGGCACCTGTGGACTCAGTAGAAGGCCTTTCCATGCATTTGGAATTGCCCAGCTGTGAAGCCCACCTCCCAGCCAGCCCTGCCTCCTCAGGCCCAGCCTCTCCCATCAGCCTGACTGGCTCTGTCCCAGCCTCGGACACGTCGGGCCCTCCCACCTGGGCCCAGACACTTTCTAGTGCTCATGCACAGCTCATGGCACCCTGAAACCCTTAGATTCCTATAAATGGGTCTCTCCAGATGGCCAGTTTCCCTGGGTAACTGACCCTCGGATTACGACCGAGTTCCATAGAAAACTGTTACCTTACCCTCTTGCCTTGACTTTGTCCTTCAGTGGCCATCTGGTCCCCACTTTTCTCTCACAGAACATTGTTGGGGCAACTTTGCCCGAAAGTCCCCCCCCCCATCCACCACGGATGAAAGTAAACACTACCAAGATATGATCCGCCTGGGGAGGAAAGGTGGCCAGCCCTCAAAGGGGAAAAGCCAGGAGCCCCTTCCTCCAGGGGCTTTTATTGGGTTGTAATACACAGAAATACAGGGCGGCAAGGATCAAACAGTAGATAACATTTCATAGAAATCTGAGGGCTTAGTCTGAGTCAGAATCTGTCAGGAAAGGGGTTGCAGAACTTTGGGAGACATACTCATTTCCTGCTCAGACCCTTATATGAATTAAAGCACTCTTAGCAAAGCAGGTTTCACAGGACTTTTAGGAATTCTTTATGATGTCTGATTACCCCGGGGAACCCACCATTCCCAGCACAAGGCTGCACCACCCTTTGTCATTATTTTCAGGCTTAAGTCAGGCAGAGGAGGCAGATAGCCAAAGCATTCTCTGAGACTTCTCGCAGACAGACTGAGGACTCAGGCTTTGTCAAAGCTGGGGGGTGAGGGTCCATGACCCCCTTTCTCTACAGCGCCCCCCAAGTCCTTCCCTGGGACCTCCCTGTGATCATGCCTGTCTTAGGTGGTTCCCCCCTTGGAGAATCTTACCTGTCATTGGCTAACTGATCGAGCACTGGGGGCCAGTTATGAAAAAAGGAGCAGAAGTGGTGATTCTGCCAGGGAGATAGGCTTTGTCTCCTCAGTAGCTTATGGTCTGAAGGTTGTCCACTCAGCCTTAGCCTTGAGGGGGGTTACAGCTCCTGAAACCAGGCAGGGCAGTCCCCAACAGAACAATTCTTCACCCTTACAGAGCCCTAGCTGTTGCATAGCTGAAAATTCATTCAAAGTATTCCAAAACAGCCTCCATATTTTAAAATAGAAGGTGTAGGCCAAAGAGGACAAACAGTGGGTCCCGTTCCCCAGTGGGGAGTCGAGGAGAACACTGTCCAGGCCACTTCTTCCATTCTCCCTACCACTGCCTCCCAGTGCTCTGTTCCTGCCTCCGAATGACCATACCAGGCTTCTCGCATGATCCACCCACTGTACAGCCTTCCTCTGTGTCCAGTGGAGGCATCTGAGAGCACCGGTAGGTGGAAGTGCTTCCGCATGTCCGCACGTGTTCAGGGACAAATGATGTGGGTGACCGTAGTTGACCCAGGATACTCACACTCATTCATGCCGGCTGCATAGCTTGCTTCGGCTGCACCTGGCTGCCTCCACCTGGCTGCCTCCACCTGATTCGCTCAAACAGCTTCTGCTCCCCGCCCTTGCCCCTGTCCATTTCCTGGATTCCAGGTATGGCCATGCCCCTCCTCCATCTTGGTGTTGACCCTTCTGCCTGCTCCCACCAAAGGCCCAGGGCAACTTGGGGTCTGTGGCAGATGCAGCCCGAGGGCTGACCTTGTGACCACAGAGAAGCTGCCACCTTTCCTCCCAAGCCCAGGCAGAAGAAAAGGGCTATGGTAAGCTAGGCGTCCTTGCAGCCTCATCTCACACTTGGACCTCAGATCTGACGTCAGGACAGGTATAGCCTCTCCCCTCCCCTAGCGCCCCTCTCTTCCAGGCCCCCGTCCCGGCCCTCCAGGCCCAGGCACAAACCAACCCCTGTGGCCGGCTGGCTTTCTTTAAGACTGGGGGCTCTCCCTGTTCTGCTTAATAACTGCCTGGTAATTAGCTGCACAATTTTGCTACTATGCTTATAATAGCCTCCATTAAAGTTATGGGATTTTCAAGCCGTAATGACTTCCAGAGTAATTAATGCACAACTGGGTTTATTGCTAAGTTTATTTTTAGAGTTTTTCTCCCTCATCCCCCCTCCCTTTCCTTTCATAGATATCTTGGCCAAAGAGACCACCAGGACAGAATTGTCTCCCCATGGCCCCCTTACACCCTTGCCCCAGTCTTTCCCCTTCCCTGCAGCTGCTTCCGTCTCTAAGAAGGTGCGGGGACTGCATAGGGGTGGCTTCCAGAGACGTGGGTGGCTCTGCGTCAGGGCCCATACATGTCCCTGTGCTCACCCTGTGCCTGGCCAGGTTCAGGCACTCTGGGGCCCGGAATCTCCCTCCCCATGCACCTGATTGCAGCACAGGACCAAAGGGCCTGGATTTATGTCTGTGACCTCAGGCAAGCCCCTGGTCCTTGCTGGCCTTGAACTCCACTCGAAATCCCACCCAGAGTTGTTGTGATACTGAACATGGACTGTGCAGTGTTGTCTTTGGACACCACAAGTGCTCCCTAGCAGCCATCATTACTAACCACTGCCCAGCAGACAAGGAGGAGGTTGAGCAGTGCCAGCGGTAGAAGGTGTAGAATAAAGGGGGTGCTTGGAGAAAAAGAGTGAAGGCCAAGTGAGGGCACAACAGATAGCGAGCTGGATGTGCACAAAGCTCGCCTTGCCGTTGCTCTCTCCATCCAGCACTTAGAAGCCTCCCCAAGATGAAGGATGTTTGAAATAGCCAGAAGCCACTGAGAACCCAGAGGGAATCTCCCAGCCAGGGCTAAGATCAGGCAGCCAAACTGAGGCTTCAATCAGCCCTTCATAGCCCCATCGGTGGTCTTGGAGTAGGGCTATGGGACTGGGACTCTGGGTGTGGCATAAGGCCACTCCACTCATTGCATCCAGAACATGAGGCTCAAACGGGCATCCTGGAGTGGACACGGGCTCTGTCACCTCCTGGCGCCATGGAAGAGGAGTTTGTAGGAGACACAGCACACATTTCCCAACATTATTCTCCCTGCTCTGTAAGCCCAGTGTTGGTCTTTGCCTGGAAACTTCAACCCCACCAGGTCTTCCATTTTCTTAAGGAGATGAGGGACGGCCTGTTCACATCTGCCTACCAGGAGACTGGAGGCAGAGCAAAGCTGTGGTGGCGGGCAGCATCGAGGGGTTGGGGGCGTGCTGGGGACCCAGGGGCCACTGTTCTCTTTCCTGGAAGATGGTACCTGGTTCTTCCACAAAATATCAGAACTATTTGGTAAGCAAGGGCCAACCAGGAGGGGAACACACCGTCTCCAAATGTGGCAACCAAAACAGTTCTCCTCCATAGCTCTCAGCCCTGCCAGAGATGGAGTGCACAGGCGGCCTCTGAGGGCGGGCCCACTGGCACCTGCATTGTGCGCGGTGTTCAGCATGGAAGTAGGAGGAAGGAGAGCATGACGGGAAATTCTCCACGGTGGTCATGGAGCCCTGGGCCTCCTCTCCCTGTCACATGAGAGAACAAGCCCCTGGGGAAGAAGCTGCCAGCGACCCTCTGCTGATCCGAGGCCACCTGACCAGGCTCGTTGTCCTCACAAGGGGGTGCCTCTCCTGGGGCCCTGCTGCCACCATTTTAGTACTCTCCCGGGGTATGGCTGTCCCCAGCCACACCACCTCTCCTCCTCTGACACCCAGCACCAAGCCCAGGCTCTGCCCGTGCAGAGCAGATGTCCCACAGAAATTTCCTGTGACATCAACAAGGGGAGGGCCCTTGCAGTGTTGCTTCTCAGGGCCTATCCCCAAACCTCTCTTGTTTGCCCTCCAAGGACTCGCTCTAATGCTGACCCCTTTATCCAGGTGAGAAAATTACCTGGGCCCAAACCCGTGGACAGCCCAGGCCTGAGCATGTGACGTGTGTGCATCAGGTGCCAGTCTAAGGGTTTTATGGGTGCTGACTGATTTAAGTCTCAGAATCATCTTGTATAGTACCCCACTTCATGGATGAGGAAACTGAGGCCAGACAGTTGTAACTGTCTGGCAAAGGAACTACAGTTTGCTGGTAGCAACGTAGATGTTTAAGCCAAGGCAGGTGTGTCTAAAGTCGGTGCCCTTGACCTCTGCACCCTGCTGAACTCACAGGGTGTGGCAGTGCCCCATCCCCATTTCTGCAGGGAACAGAGGCCCCGCCTCCCAGGAAGACAAGCAAGAGAGGTCCTCGGGGAGATGGCGGTCCAGGCTCCACTGGGAAACCCCGAGCTGGGCCTGGTTCTGCTGGACACCGACCCCGCCCAGGTCTCTGGCCATCCTCTTCTGCTCTCTCTTACAGATGTGCACTTCGCAGGGTTCCTGACAGTGTGTAAGAACAGCCATCCCTTGTCACGCTCTGGCCGGGCTGGACTCTGCAAACCTGCTTCCGCAATGGGTGGGTTGTGAGCACTGGTAAGACCTGCTAGCCAGCATTCGGCTTCTCTGCTGTCCCGCGTCTGGCCTGTCCGGCCCATTCCTGTTCTTTTCTCCCCTGTGCTCATCACGGTGCTGCCACCACCCCTGGGGCCATCCCTCTCCCGACCTTGCTGCTGCTCAGGTAATGAGGAGCTGTGGGCCCAGCCAGCCTTGGAGATGCCAAAAAGACGGGACATCCTCGCGATCGTCCTCATCGTGCTGCCCTGGACGCTGCTCGTCACCGTTTGGCACCAGAGCACTGTGGCGCCTCTGATCACCGCACACAAGGGTGAGCCATGCCCCCGGCCCCCCGGAGGGTGTCAGTGGTGAGAGGGAGACAGACAGTGCCGGTGGAGTTATTTTCATTCCCCGCGCAGCTGGGAGGGGGCCTAAGGATGAGCCAGGCTAATGACCTGGCCCTTTCAGGGGTCTTGGCCCCTTTAGGAATGTGATGAATGCTACCCAGCCCCCCACCACGCACAGAGATGCACATGCACGGCTCTGCGTCCAGTTCTAGGATGTGCAGACACAGGGAGCACTCACAGCAGTGGGGGGGGGGAGGATGGTGAAGAGCATCCCGGGCCTGTGTTGTGTTTTAAAATCTTTCAAGGAGAGAACATTTGTTGCCCCTCCTTTCCAGACTGGGTTAGGCAGCCCAGTCTGACCCAGTGAAAATAGGCCTGGCTGGAGGAAAAGCCCCAGGAAGCACTGGTGGGAGAACGGGGCTGAGTCCCCAGCTTCCCCCTCCACAAGATACCTTTCCCTCTGATCTCAGGGGCCCCCACACCCAGAACCTTCCGCATGCCCCACATCCGACCTGCCTCCTCAGGCCTAACTCTCCAGTCATGCTTCCCTCCCCTCTGCGCTCCACACCCTGCAGCCTCGGTCCTCTCGGGCAGCCATTCTCCCCGGGAGAGGAGCACAGGCGGGCACTGGGAGCATTACACACACCAAGGCTCCAAGGCCCATCTGAGCGAGGGAGGTGACCAGGGCCCCGGGCAGGGCCTGGGAACCCACATGTAGCCATAACACCAGGTGACTGGGATGCATGCAGTAGCCAAGAACCACAGCCTGAAGCCGGGCCACCCCACACGGTTCGCATCAGGCCCTGCTCAGTCCCAGCAGTTCCCGAAGCTTCTGTAAGGGAAGGCCAAGCCGAATGTCACTAACTTCCCTCTGCCAAGTGCCGGGCCCTTGGAGCCTGTCCTCCTGACAGTTACCCTCTCCTCCCAAGGCCCACATCTCTCTTTGGTGCCTGTCACTTTCGAACCACTGCTCTTCTACAACTACATCACCCCAGGGGGGTTGAAACTGCCACGTATGAAGTGACATGACATCATGTGGCTTCTGTTCTTGGCAGAGCTCTAGGGCCAGAGATGTCAGGCTGCTTTGCTAAGCACCGATCTTACAGCCTGCAGATGAGGAACTGGCCTCCTGTCTCCATGGAGCACACCAGGAGGCGCCAAAATAAAGTTAGAGATGCAGGGAGTTCTTCACAACTCAAAGGCCGCAGAAACTGTGAAGCCAGCAGGAGGGGCCAAGTTCCAGCTGTGGCCGGGTCTAAGGCACAGGGGACCTTCCCATGGCACAGATCTCCCTGTTTGGGACTTGTGTGGCCAGAGGAGGCAGAAAGTGGCTCTAAATCTCCTTCCCGAGTCTCAGCTTCCAAAACTTGACCGACTACAGGATAGAGCAGTCCTTGTAGAGCTTGGTCGGGCTCTCACTCACCCCTCTCTCCTTAAACTTGTTCTATTCTCACAGTTTAACCCAAAACTGCTCCAGAAAGTAACTTTGACCAAGTGCCTCCATGCAGGTCTCCCACCCCTGCCCTCACAGCCCGTGACACCATGCCCAGGCCTGCAGAAGGGGCTCCCAGCTTTGGCTGTGTGCGCTGTGGCTCCATTAGCCTGCACGAACTCCCTAATTGCTGTGAGCAGGTCTTCTTTTGGGTTCGTCTGGATCTCCTCCCAGGGTCAGATCTTGCACAAGCACCCCACACACCCCTGTGCTAAGGACAGTGGTGGGAAGGAGGGGAAGTGACAGAATGGCTAATTCACAGCGTCTGTCCCAGGGCCACACATCAGCCCTGTCACGTGAGTGCTCATTCTGTCCTTTCCATGGTTGCACGAAGCCACAAGGAAGCAGGGCCGGCTGCTGTCCTCCTTCTCTACCCGAGGGAAGGACAGGACCTGCCTCGCAGTGTCTGACACCTTCACTTGTACCAACTCCTTAATCCAGGTTGTAACTCATAAAGTAGGTGCGGTGGTTAGCTCCGTATCACAGTTGCCCAGACTGAGAACGGAAGCTAAGTGACGGAACGGGACAGCATCGGTGGCCAGGCACGAGCATTCTGACCCTCGTCACCCCTGCTGAGATGGGATGAGAGCAGTGAGGGCCGCACAGCTGTTCAAACGGAAAGACATGAGGAGAGGAGCGGCTCGTTAAGAACGGGACCACCAACCGCCCTGATTTCTCCTCCTGATGGACTACCAGCATCACTAAAGGGGAAAGTGTCCAGGACGTAAGGAAAAGTTTGGTCAGTGGGGTGAGCTGCCATGGTGCCAGGGAGTGTTCCACCAGAGGCCAGGCTTCTGCCAGTTTTCACACCATGTCCCCGGACAGACAGAGGTAAACATTAGCTGGAGGTGGGACAGCTGGGGTCAGCGGGACAGTTAGCCCCAAAGATGGTCGAATGAGTGTTTCCAGAAAATAAAGATTAAAAATAAATAAACCAGCAGAAGAGCTAGAACAGGTCTCCGCCCACCCTTCGTGTATGCCAAAATGAAGGAACATCTGAGCTCGGGAAGGATGGGTTCGAGATTCAAAATTATCTGGAAAACTTTGGACAAAACCCTGGAATAAAATGCAATAGTTGAGTATTAAATTCTGCATGGAGATGCAAAGGATAGTTTGCAGAAGGCCAGGGGGGAAGGAGCCCTGTTTGACTCCAGGGTTTGTGAGAAATCAGGGAGGGGAACCTCACACTCGGCGTCCACTGTGCACTTGCACCATCAAAGCACTTACCCTGCTCTTTGGCACCCTGGTGTTTGCCCCACCTGGTGGCAGTGCCAGGGTGCAGTGGCAGTGTGGTCAGTGCTGTCCAGGTAAGGAGGCCACCAGGGTGGTGAGGGTCAGACACTTATATAAAACCCAACACATTTAGGAACTGTAGGGTCAGTCTTGGAGTCTGGTCCGCGGCAAACAGCCACAGGGCTGTCAAACAGGGGAGGCGGTAGAGGTCACCTCTGCCGCCTGGGGAGTCAGAACTAGGAATGTGCCAGAAAATTCCGGGACACTGCCATCACGGCCAGCTCTGACAGGCAGAGCCCCAGGCAGGGGTCCATGGCCCACCTGAAGAGGCACAGAGGGCAGGTTTGTGCGGCACGGTGGGTGGGGCATCCACCCAGTACCCGAACCCGAGGCCAGCTGGCGTCCCTACACACCTGTCTCCCAACCCCACAGATGAAGGCAGTGACCCCAGGCGCGCTGCCCCACCAGGCGCGGACCCCAGGGAATACTGTATGTCCGACCGTGACATTGTAGAAGTGGTGCGCACTGAGTACGTGTACACGCGGCCCCCGCCCTGGTCCGACACGCTGCCCACCATCCACGTGGTGACGCCCACCTACAGCCGCCCGGTGCAGAAGGCGGAGCTGACGCGGCTGGCCAACACGCTGCTGCACGTACCCAACCTGCACTGGCTGGTGGTGGAGGACGCGCCCCGCCGCACACAGCTGACGGCGCGCCTGCTGCGTGACACTGGCCTCAACTACACGCATCTGCACGTGGAGACACCCCGCAACTACAAGCTGCGTGGCGACGCCCGCGATCCACGCATCCCGCGCGGCACCATGCAGCGCAACCTGGCACTGCGCTGGCTGCGGGAGACCTTCCCCCGAAACTCCAGCCAGCCCGGAGTGGTGTACTTCGCTGACGACGACAACACCTACAGTCTGGAGCTCTTTGAGGAGGTGTGGACCAAGCAGAAGGCAGGGAAGGGGTGCTCTGGTGCGGGAAACGAAGACGCTCCCACGGAGGAGGCCCAGGTTGCTAGACGGGTCCCTTTGGGTAGGAATGTGCGGGAATGGGTGCAGGAGGGGCACCGGGCCAGAGCGGGTGGACACTGCAGGGGACCGGAGCCAGGATGGGAAGTCTGGCTGTCGGCCTCAGCATTCCCCTGCGTTAAAAGGAATGAGGGGGTGCAGGAGCTTCTAGACCACAGTGCTGCTGTGGAGTGGAGGCATCCTCTGAATGAGGTGTGGACCAGTGTCAGGGTCCCTGGGGTTGGTGGGTCATGGCCTTGGGGTCGGGGGTCAGACTCTAAATTAGGAAGACAGGTTTGCAGCAAGGAGGAAAGTGGTGTGTGGAGAGGAGGGAAGAGCAGTTGGCTTAAGAGGCCATGTTCCTCCATAGATGCCCACCACGGGGGCAAGTCTGGAGACAGACCGAGCTTGAGTCCCCGACGTGGCGTCAGGTGGCCAGTGAGCCTGGCGTCAATGGATGTCACCTCCCACGGGATCGGGCAGCAGTCCCTGTCAGCAGTCCCAGGTGTCCTGACTCTGGGTCCCCCTTGTAGATGCGCAGCACCAGGAGGGTGTCCGTGTGGCCTGTCGCCTTCGTCGGCGGCCTTCGGTACGAGGCCCCACGGGTCAACGGGGCAGGGAAGGTGGTCGGCTGGAAGACAGTGTTTGACCCCCACCGACCGTTTGCAATAGACATGGCGGGATTTGCGGTCAACCTGCGGCTCATTCTACAGCGAAGCCAGGCCTACTTCAAGCTGCGTGGTGTCAAAGGAGGTTATCAGGAGAGCAGCCTCCTCCGAGAGCTCGTCACCCTCAATGACCTGGAGCCCAAGGCAGCCAACTGCACCAAGGTAAGGCCCTCAGCGGAACTAACGGCTGCAATGCAAGTGTTTCCAAGCCCATCCAAACCCTCCCTGCAGATCTGGGCAGGAAAGAAAGGCCTCAAAATGGCCCTGCAAAGAGCAGGCCCAGAGCCCAGCCTTCCTGTGCCCCAGCCAAGAAGGCAGCTTGTCAGCCGTCCGGCAGCCACGCTAAAGTCAAGTGGGGAAATGCAGAGGGTGGTGATCAGTGAGGCAGAGCCAAGGACTGTGTTGCCTCCCTCTACAACCTCCCTGCCAAGTACACGTGCACGTGTGCACACATGTGGACACACACATGCAGGCGCACACTGTGACTAGTTTGAACTTCTCCAGCTAGGACCTGGGCCATCATTTGGCTGAGCTGAAGGGTCCTGAACAACTTTCCCCCTGTCTAGAGAGACCCATTAAGAACTGCAGGGGAGGCTGAGAAGCGAGAGAAAATCTTCAGGATGATTTGTCTATTTTTCTATAGCTGTAGACTTTCTGTTCCCAACAGCTATTTTGAGTGCATCAGACATGCAAAACAGCAAGAGCGAGGTGGTAGGTAGAAATTAAGAGCAATGGAGAAAATCTAGATGGATTTTCTCCATCTAGAGAAAGGCCAGAATGGGAGGTGCAGGAGGAACATTTGTGGAGTGTGAGGGGGGCAGGGGGTGGTGGGGTGAGGTCGGGGGCCTGCCCACACTGCTTCTCGTCTGGGCACACAGATCCTAGTGTGGCACACGCGGACAGAGAAGCCGGTGCTGGTGAACGAGGGGAAGAAAGGCTTCACTGACCCTGCCGTGGAGATCTGAGCCCGGGATACAGGTATGGGGGGGACGAGGGCAGCGCTGCACGGGGCAGTGGGTGCCATGTTTGGACGCAGAATAAACCTGCCAAGACCTTTCCTCTTGGTCTTTAATTGTGGAGGGACAGGCAGGGAAGTGCTAGCATGAGTGGAAGAGGCATGGCGAAGTCCCCTCCCCATGGCACTGTCCAGAAATTAACAGGAGCTGACCGACCCCACAGCTGGGTCCTTCTGCAACAGTGTCAGAAGGCCTCTGCTTCCAGACCTCACCTGGTGACCACTGTTATTCTGGCCACGGCACCTGTCCCATTGCAAGGCACTGTTGTGTACTCTCCTAAGCTGTCTTGCACTGTGGATCCCTCTCTGGTCACCCCTCTGTGACGAGGGCCCTCACTCACTGCTCCCACCTCACGTAACGAGTCCATGAGTCTCTCAACGGTGACCGTGCAGTGCAGTGGTCTGAGTGGGAGCCCAGTCCTGGGTCAGCCCCTGGCCCACCACTCTTCCCTGTTTTACCTTTCTTTTTCAGGGCTTCAATGGGTCATTGGGGGTACCAAGAACAGTCTCTAGCACATAATAAGTCCTACATAAGTGTTGGTGTTATTGTTGTTTCATTTTTAAAAGCTTCTATTAAAGTGGGCCACAGGACCTGCCTACAATTTAGACGTAAAGAAATGATGTTCAGAAAAACTAATGAATGAAATGAACTGTGCCAAGAAATTGGCAAAGCCAGGAATGTCCTCTGGGCACTTCTATGATGTCATCACAGAGGTGGGAGCTAAGCCCGTGGGACACACCTGAACTCTAGTCCTAGAGTTTAATGGCAGCTCTGTGTCACGTTTGCAAGTGCCCTGCCCACCAGGGACCCCCAGGGCATCAGTCTGACTGTTCCCTCCCTGAACTTAACGAATTGGCTGGGCCAGTGCCGCTGAGACCCACCAGTGCAGAGCCACATCCCCTGCCTCCCCTTCACAAGGTCCCTGGAGGAGCCTGCCCCCTCAGCACTGGGCTCTGTGCAGCTCTGCCATGGACCTTCTTGGGGACTAAGGCTGGAGTAGCTGGGCCAGACTGGCTGGCTGCTCAGGCACCTGCCTCACCCGCTGCTCCTCCCCCCTTCACAGGAGCCTCCTCTCAGACCCTGCTCCTGGCCTTCCATTCTCTTCCCACAGTTGACGGCCCCACCAAGGCAAACTCCACAGGAATGGCCAGCACCCTCTTTTCTATGCTGGGGCTTCAGAGAGAGCCCAGCCTAATGCCAGGACAAAGGACGGAGAACCTAAAGCACAGAAATCCAGACATGCTGTTCTCTCCCATCCAGCGTGCCCAGGGCCCAGCTGCTAGCCCCGCCCCCAAGCCGGCACACGGGTGCCCCAGCACCCCTCCCCAGAGCTTCCTGCATCAACAGGCCTGCAGCAGCAGATGCAAGGGGCTCACCCAAGCCCCAGAGTGATGCTAGCCTGGGAGGGAGATGACAAGATTCGGCAGTCAAGTGGAGGGTGCACCCCTCACAGCCCGGCTCCCTGCTCCTGGCTCCCGAAGTCCAGCATGGCCTCACAGGGCAGCCAGCCAGAGAATTCTGAAGACCAGAGAGCAGGCCCTGCCCGGGTATCAGGAGCCCGACCCCTCCTCGGAGAGCTGCTCCCAAGTACACCTGCCTCTGTGGCTTTCCTCTCGTTCTTATTCTGTCTTTGATCCCAATAGGCAACCAGCCCTGCGTGAGGGGAGCCTGGGCCTTCCAGCAGGCTCCCTCTGTACCTCAGGCTGTGGTGGGAGAAGAGTCCCTTCCTCCGGTCCATGCCCCTCAGGCCTGCTCCTTGCAGCACAGAGAAGCAGGTGGGACCTTGAGCCAGCACAGGTCACGCACTGACCTGGACTAAGACAACATGGGCCCCTGTCCCCACACTGCCACCCCCACTGCCCACTGGGCTGCAGGGCCCTTGCCTGGGCCAGGACGGGGAGGGCAGGAGCCCTCTTCCTGAAGCCCCTGAGAACCACAGACCTCAATGGCCCAAGTGATCAGGGGTGTGAGAGGCAGAAAGAAGAGGGAGGCCAAGGCAAGTCCAAGACCCCTCCTGCCCCTGGTGGGGGGGTAACAGGGGGTTTTGCATTGGCCAAGGGATTGATGGAAACAAGGCAGAGACCGTCTGGACACTGAGCGGAAGCCTGAGCACACACTGCTTTGGAGATCACTGTCTCTCAAATACTAAATGGGAAAGAAAATCTCACTTCTCCCCAAGTGGGGAGCGTGCAGAGCGAGCCTCCTCAGGTCCAGCTGCAAAGAACAGTGCATGTGCCAGCCACTCCCTTCCACCAGGGGGAGAGAGTGTCCGCTTCCCCAGGCCACCAGAAAAGCCCCTGGCTTTCCAGCTGGGGACAGGGCCCTCTGGTGGCTGTCTCACTCTTGCTCCTGAAAGTTGGAAGCACAATTTTCCTCCCACGTGGAGGAAAAGGGAAGGCTTGAGCCTACTGAAGATGTTTATTTTTAACTGCTAACAGCACCCACTTCATTTAAACTCACAGGACCAGTCCAAGGACCACTGAGAACCCACTCCTGGGCGGGTGGGGGATAGGACTTAGTCTGGCCACCCGAACATTAAAAAAGTAGCATTGGCTGCCTGTTTTGAAATGGACTGAACTCTCCACAGTAGTCATGAACCCTTCTGCTGGGATTATATCCTTCACACCCCTGAGCCACCTTGCAGGACACTCCCCAGCCTCTTCCATTTCCAGTGCTGCTTTGGAAATCCAGCCCTCAGAATCCAGCGGTGTGGCATGGGAGAGAAGGGAGGGGGTGGCCCCCCGACAGCCACCCAGGGAGTGGATTCAGGCCCAGGCTTCACAGCCTCCTCCCTGAACCCAGACCTGAACGCCCAGGTGAGCTTGGCTGCCCTTAGGCAAACTTCTCAGCCAGAGCCAGGTGGCAGCGGAAGGGTACCCAGGGCTCATTTTCAGGAAATTGATAATGAACAAAATGAGGTATTTTCTCTATTACTTTTTTCGGGGGGCAGATGCTAGTTGTTTTCGCCCACTATCCTCTTCTAGCTGCATGTTTATTTATTTATAATTATCACCCCGGTAGACGGCAGCTCTCTCCTTTACTGGGAAGGAGTGTGTTAGAAATCAGAAGTGGGTCAGTGACGGCGACTCGTTTTCCAACTTTGGTCTGTTCCCTGCTCCCCACATGGAGACCACACGGAGGAGTGAAGCGGGGGCTGGGGGTCTCAGAGACGGGGGCAGTGGAGCTACGCAGCTGCACCATCTGGTCTGTTTTAATTTAACTGTATTTAATTTGTTTTCAAAATTAAAAGTCAGATATGGTTTTTAACAATCCTAATCTTCCTCATCCCTGCTTCATTTTAGTCCATTTTATTGCTTAACCCTTCACCAAAGATTTATCTGTCAGATGCCCCTGGGAACAGGCTGTATTCCGGGAGCCAGCACACAGCAGCGGAAACACGAAGCGCTGGTCTTCATGGAGCTTACTTTCTCCCAAGAGGACGTGGATGGTCAGCAATCTTTAGTGCTTCAGCTGTGATCTGGTCTGGGGACAAGAATGAGGCTCGGGGGGTGGGCGGACACAGAGTGAAGCCATGGAGAGGACCTAGTCCCGGCCTGCACGGGGCCCTCAGAAAGGCCCTCCTGGTAAGGTGACGCAGAGCGGCAGCATTAGACTCGCTGTTATCTGGGCAGAGCACCCCAGAGAAGAGAACTCTCTGCCTGCTGGGAAGGTGCTCAGCATATGTGAAAACCCAGCAAAACTGCCCATGTGACTGCAGCTGACTGGGGAGGGGGTGGTCAGTGGGAGGAGGTGGGAGAGACGTGGGAAGAGGGGAGGCACAGAATGTGCTGGCTGGTGCTGGGAACCTGGGTAAAGCTGTGGCTTCCGTGAGTGAAAAGGGAAGCCACTGGAGGGTTTGGAGCAGAGGAGGGACATGGTCCAACTGGCCCTTTAGAATCCCTCCATGTTTGGGGCTGACAGTACACAGAGAGGGGGTGAGGGCAGGCTGGGCGTGGGCTCTGCACTAAGCACGCACAAGATGACAGTGAGCTGGAGGAAAGTGTTAGCTTTGGGGCAGAGAGCCCTGGCTGAACTCTCCATGTGTTTAAGAGGCCCATCTGGGGAGAGGCTGAAGGGACAGCTGCCAGGGTCCCTGTGCTGAGTCCCTCTCCCACACTGCCCACAGGTGCCATCTTTCCTGGGTCAAGTGCTCCCCTCCATAAGGTATCAATCTAGGACTGTGAACCAGCCCCACCCCCGACCCTGTGGGGCCCCACCCCATTGAATTTGTGTCCTGTGGAGGAGTCTCTTGGCTGTGGCCAGCCTGGCTCCTGGGGCCATTCTCAGGGAGGTCTAGACAGACCCAAGGGGCAGAGATGACAGGGAACGACTGAATTGTGTGGCTCAGGACAGGGGCCATTTCTCCCTTGCTCACACAACTGGTGCAGAGTCCTCCCTTCACATGGCCAAATCTTTATTTGTTTCAGCCTGATGAATTCTGTTGGCATCACCCTGATGTTTTTCTGAGACCCCATCCCACCACACAGGTGCACAGGTCCCAGGCAGGTGGCCATTGGCCTTGGTGAGCCTTGAGACATTGCTGAGTGGCCTCAGACCCAGCACTGGTACCAGGTATGAATCTGTATCAATCTGGTGAACACCTCTCGCCCCGTACATGGTGACACACTGAGACCCTCACCTCACACAACTCACTGCCAAGGGCTCAGTGACTGGGCCTAATAGGCAGCTGACCAGTGACCTGCCCCAGACTCAGTGCTGGTGGAAGCCCGCCTTGGTGTGCAGCATAACTCCTTCAACAATCATTCAGGCCCAGCAGAGGCAACCACATACTGTGGACTGCTTTGTAGCTCTGAACAGGTGGCCCAGGGCTGGTCGTACGCAGCACCTGATGGAGTCTCTCCCAAGAGGTCCCAAAACCAACACACTTGGTGACAGGCTTAGGCCCACACCAGAGTGTGGCCCCATTAGCTCTACAAGCAGAACCTCCAGAGGGGGCGCAGTGGGCTCCAGACCCTGCTGGGGTGAATTCTGCCTCATGGTGCCAGCCCTGCACAGCAGCTCACATGCTGCGGTCAAGTCAGCCCTCACACGCAGTCCCATGCATGCATGGATACACCAAGAGAAATCAAGACAAAATGACAATGGGGGGATCACATAACCCACACAAGGGACATTCCTGGAGCACGTCACTCAGGTGATCAGGCAGGTGGTGCCACTGAGCCCCAGAAGACAGCCACGACATAAGGCCGCCATGCCAAGGCTGGGAGACACAGCAGATCCACCTGACACCAGAAACAGGCACAGAGCGTCAGCCAAAATGGAGGGAAAGGCCTCAAATAGAAGGGTAAGAGGAATCTCCAGAAAAAGAACTAGATGGAATGGAGGCAGGCAATTTACCAAATACAGAGTTCAAAACCTGCTTATAAGATGCTCAAGGAAGTTGGGGGAAGAAGGGATGAATTCAGTGAGAATTTAAAGAAATGGATAGGAAGCATAAAAGCGGACATAGTAACCACAAAAAAATAACCTGTCAGAAATGAAGAACAGAATGTCTGAAATGAAGAATATACCAGAAGGGATCAACAAGTTAGACGAAGCAGAGGATCAAATCAGTGATTTGGAAAACAGCATTGTGGAACACTCACAATAAGAGCAGAGAAAAAAAAAAGAATGTTTTAAGACAAGGATAGTTTCAGAGACCTCTGGGACAATATCAAGCATAACAACATTCACATCATAGGGTTACCAGAAGGAAAAAGAGAAAGCAAGGGACTGAGATCCTATTTGAAGAAATAACAACTGAAATAACTTCCCTAACCTGGTGAAGGAAAAGGACACACAAGTTTGGGAAGCAGAGAGTTCCCAAAAAGAACCCAAGGAAGCCCACACCAAGATACTTAATATTTGAAATTACAAAGGTTAAAGACAGAGAAGCTGAAAAGCAGAAGAGAAAGACAGCTGTTTACCAGCAAGGGAGCTCCCATAAGACTGACAACTGACTTTTCAACGGAAACACTTCAGGTCTGAAGGAACTGGCATGGATTATTCAAAGTGATGCAAAGCTGTCATTTAAAACTGAAGGAGAAATAGAGACCTTCTCAACAACAAAAGCTAAAGGAGCTCATTATTGCCAAACCAGTATTATAAGGAACGTTAAAGGATATTCTTTAAGAAAAAGAAGAAGAAAGAAGGAACGTAATTATAAAGAATATAATGGCAATAAATACATGCCTATCAATAATCACTGTAAATATAAATGCCACAAATACTCTAAACAAAATACTCGGGGTGGCTGAAAGGATAAGAAAACGAGACCCATAAATATATGCTTCAACAAGAGACTCATCTCAGAATGAAAGACACACACAGACTGAAAGTAAAGAGATGGAAAAAGATATTTCATACAACTGGAAATGAAAAAAAAGCTGGAGAAGCAATACTAATATCAGACCAAATAGACTTTAAAACAAAGCCATAATAAGGACAAAGACAGACACTACATAATGATAAAAAGATCAATCCAACAAGAGGATATAACCCTTGTAACATAGAGGCACCCAACATAGAATCACCTCAATATTTAAAGTAAACATTCATGGATGTAAATGGAGAGATGGACAGTAATACAGTCTGAGTGGGGGGTTTTAACATCCAATTGACATCAATGGATGGATCTTCCAGACAGAAAATCAAGGGAACAACAGCCTTAAATGACACCCTAAGTCAGATAGATTTCATTGATATTTTCAGAGCATTCACTCCAGCAGAAGAATACATTCTCTTCAAGTGCACACGAGAGCACTTCCCCACACAGACCACACATTAGGTCACAAAACAAGTCTCAACAAATTGAAGAACCCTGAAATCATAACAAGCATCTGCTCTGACAACCTGGGTATGAAACTAAAAATAAATTACAAGGAAAAAACCTGAAAAATGCATAAGCATGTGGCAACTAAATAACATGTTACTAAACAATGAGATCAAGCAAAAAATCAAAATCTACCTTGAGGCTAATGCAAACGAAAGCACAACAACATAAAATCTATAGGACACAGTAAAAGCAGTGCTAGGAGAGAAATTCATTGCAGGCCTATGTGAAAGTCTCAAATCTAACCTCACACCTAAACAAACTAGGAAAAGAACAACCAACACAGCTCACAGTGAGTAGAAGAAAGAAAATAAAGATGAAAGTGGAAATAAAACAAGGTCTAAAAAAGACAATACAAGATATCAGTGAAACCAAGAATGTTGAAAAGATAAACAAGATTGACAAACTCAAGTAAAAAAGAAGAGAGGACCCAAATAAATAAAAGCAGAAATAAAAAAGGACAGCAGGGGGAATATTCTATAAAGTATATGATTGTCTAATCACTATGCTGTATACCTGAAACTAGTACAAAATAATATTAAATGTAAACTGTAATTGAAGAATAAAAAAAGAAATGAAAGAAGAATAACTGACACCACAGAAATACAAAGGAATATAAGAACATATAATGATGCCCTGGCTGGTGTAGCTCAGTGGATTGAGTGCAGTCTATGAACCAAAGGGTAGCCAGTTCAATTCCCAGTCAGGGCACATGCCTGGATTACAGACCAGGTCCCCAGTACAGAGCATGTGAAATGGCAGCCACACACTCCCTCTCTCTCCTTTCCTTTCTCCTTCCCTTCCCCTCTCTCTCATAAAATCTAAAAAAAAAGGAAAATATAATGGACAACTATATACCAACAAATTGGACAATCTGGAAGAAATTAATAAATTCCTAGAACATAAAATCTCCCAAAACTAAATCAAGAAACAGAAAATCTGAACAGACTGATTACAACTAACAAAATTGAAGCAGGACGGCCAAGTGGCTGATGAGCGGATGTGGGACACGGAGGAGGGGAGTTAGAAACACACCCGAGACACCGAATAGGACTGCCACTTCCTGAGAGGGGGCAGAGTGAAGGAGGGGTGACATGGCAGTAACTGGAGTTCAAGGTCACGTGCCCATTACACACGTGCAGGAGAGGGGAGTGCATGGTAGCCAGTACACCTGAAGCCCAGGCGGAGATCAAGATTGGAGAGTATGAGTGCCAGGCTGTCTGCAAGCCCCAGGTGACTGAAGCCACCACGGCTTGTGGACAAAGGGAAGAGGCCAGGGAGTGGGCCTGCAGCCTGCTGGCAGACGTTGGAGTGGTGGGAGGAGGCTTCAAGAACCTGCGCGCCCATGCAGTTGGGAAGATCTGGGTGACCCATGGGAAAGCTCTGGAGGACGATCTCAGACAAGGGGCTCTGATGGTGAGGAGCTGCAGGGCTCTCTGGCAGATAAGAGGCAAGAGCCATGAGTTGGGGCAGAAGGCCTCACTGTGAGGAAGGGCCAGTGCATCCCCATGCAGCTCCTGTTAAGAGAGTGATTTGAGGGGATTCTTCACTTTATGAAAGGATTCACCAGCCTCCTGTTATGCCTTCCAACAGCAGCCAACCTATGTAGAGCTTTGCAGAGGCACAGTCTGATGCAAAGCGAGGGCAGGAGACCCTGCTGCCCAGCGCCTGCCGTGCCCAAGTAGTTCTGGTCTCATCAGTGGTGGGGCTTTGCCCCACCTGGCTGCCCAGCCATGGTGCATGCTTTTCACTGTACTAAGCCCCCTCTCTGTGCTCCCGGGGGAACCCTTGGGCCGGGCTCTGCGACTGTCCTTGACCCGGCTCAGTTCTAGGCCCCAGCGGCTGGGCACGCCGCTGTGTGGAAACCTCTCCTTAACCAAGCACAGGGTGAGAGCCTGTGAGGCTCCTGGCAGGCTGCCCCCACCTGTCTTCAAGGGCTCCTGCGGTGGGCCCTGCCCTGTGGGGGTGCCCCTTTCTGACTTGCCTACTTTGGAAAATCATTAGTCTGTGGCAGTAAAGGCTAGATGTCGTTTGAGAAGAAAACTTGCCCACTGTAGCTGACTCACAGGTAGAGCCTTCGGCTGTTTGCCCCTGTGCCTACCTGCACCAGAGTGCGTTCGTAGTGGCCTTGTCTCCAAGGACACTTCCAATCCACAGTGACTTCTCAGAGGAGATGGAGGTCCCGAGGAACATGGTATGGCGTCAGCCTCTGGGAACCGAGTGGCAGAAGGGTTACGTGTGTGCCTGGCTGCACACAGCTTTTCCTCTGGCTGTCAGCAGCACAGACGGGATCCGAGAAATAGCGGCAAAGGGTTCGATTCAACAATATTGCTTTATTGCAAGTCAGGACAGCAAGCCTGAGCCAAACCACTGAACCCAAGCTCCAGAACCAGCACCTCAGTTTTGGGCAGACGACTGCAAAGAAAGTGCCTCTCCTCCTTCTACTTGGTCACAGGAGGTTGGGGGAGGGAGACCCAGCTGGAGGCAAGGTCTGTGCCAGGCTTGCAGGCCCCGTGGTGGCCGTGTCCCAGGAGGCAACCCTTCCAACTAGGCCACTGGAGCTGGCCTGCTGCCCTTCTCCTCCTGTACCCAGGGATAGGGGCCTGGCTTCCACTGGGCTCTGCATTTCCTCCTCCTCTCCCTGAGAAGAATGGGAATACCCTCTAGTTCAGGAAAATAAGGGGCTGAGTATGTCTGCTTCTCTTAAGCTCAGCTTGTCTTCACGTCAGAAGGGAGTCGGGTCAAGTGGCGTTTCTTCCAGAATCCCAGAGAAGACTCGGGGAGGGCTGGGAGGAAACAGCAGTGGCTCAGGGGAGACGCCCCCTTCACTGTCCTCTACAGATGGTGACAAAGCCACTACTGAGGAAAGAAAGGGGCCCTGAGAGTTGAAGCCAGGCCAGGTGAGAACATTCACGGGGGCACACTTGCGTGCAGCACACCCGCGTGCGGCACCCGCCTGGCCCGTCCGGACTTCTGTGGCCCAGGGGTGGCCACATGAAGATCTGGCAGGACAGTCGGTCATCCCTCTGTCCTCTCTCAGAAGAGCAGGGAGTAAGAAAGATGCCCTCCACAGAGTCCAGTCAAGACCCTGTGCGGGGAAGAAGGGGGTCCTCCCCTGCCACCCCCCGCTCTGTCCGGTCAGAAATAGGGCTTTGCACTGGAGCTTGGGCAGAGGTGGAGCCCTGAGGTCGAGAGACAGGGGAGCTCTGCTGGGTGGAGCGTGAGGGGCAGCACCCCAGGCCTCCAGGCCTCAGCGAGGAAGGGCCCGCTCCACACCCGCCACCGCAAGGCCCTGGCAGCACCGCTCAGTTGAGGTACTGATTCCTGCCCAGGTGGGGTGTGTCCGTGAACTGGATCACAGGGCCTGCCATCCTCTCCTCGAACACAAGGACCTGGGGAGAGAAGGGCTGGGGTCATGAGACTGTCAAGGTTTGTCGGGAGCCAGGTGAGGGAGCCGTGAGGGAAGGGGCTGGGAGCAGGGCTGGACGGACCAGGGACCACAGCCAATCGGCAGGAGGGAGAAGCATGGAAGGGGCGGGGCAAAACCTCAGCCCCTCCCCACAGCCTCGGTATAGAGCTGCGATGCCACCACCCTCCATCCCCGGCACCTGACCTCAGGGAGAACAGGGACATCGGACGTGTAACAGTGGAGCTGTGGGTCACACGCTAGAGCTAAGGCAAGCAGCTCTCTTAGGGCTGCACACTCAGAGTAGAGCATGTACAGGGTAAGGAAAGGGCAGAGAAGGAAGAAGTAGAGGGGGGAGATGCAAAGGGGGAAGGGAGTGGTGGAACAGGCACGGAATAGCCGGGGGAAAGAAAGGGAGACTGGATGAGGTGGGAGGAAAAGGAACATCTGCCCTGTGCTGCCTGAACCAGGCTTAACAGACAGTAACAGGGCCTCCTGCCTCCCCCCCAGAAACACTGTGACACCAGGGAGGGCGGGAAGAGGAAGGGGCTGCAAGCGCTCCCACCTGGTTGATGCCTTGGTCCAACCAGGCACCTGGGAGGTACAGTGTCTCCTGGGGTCCGATGTTCCAGTAGCGTCCAAGGTTTTGGCCGTTGACGAACACCACCCCCTTCTCCCAGCCCTGGAGGCAGAGCAGGGAGCACTCGTCAGCCCCAGAGGCAGCAACGTGAGGTCCCACAGGAAGGCAGCGACAGGGGGACACACGCTGTACATCCACTGGGCTTCTAACAGGGCGGTGCGAGGGGTAGGTAGAGAGCCCGGGTGCACCAGGTGGGAGCCCCGTCTCTCCCTCTGCCACCGCCCACCCCCCCCCCAGCTCCAAATTCTCAGCAGGGCACAGGAGCTCAGATGAGACGCAGGAGCCTCAACCCTGAGCAGTGCCACCAGGGGTGCTTCTGCTCTGAGCCCACCCTGGAGGCCCTCCGAGAGAAGGCAACACACAGAGGGGGCCCTCTAGGCCCCAGGTGATGGAGAGGGCTCCAGCAAGGCTTCGGAGAGCCCTGTGGGGAACAAGCCCTGCCTCAGGGCTCAGGCTTCGAGCACTCCAAGGACCCGTGAGGGCCTCCGCAGGGAGGAACTACAAACCTCCAGTTTCATGAAGGTGTCCGAAGGGGAAAGGCCAACAGACAAGGCTCCCAAGAAGAAGGCAGGGAACACAGGTGCTTCCGGGAGAGGGCTCCATGCGCTGGAGCCGAGCCTATGAACAGACCAGGAGACCAGGAGGGACGAGAGCACTCTGTCAGGTCTGAGCCCCATCCTGTATCTCCCCACACAGATGCCTGGCAGCAGGGGCACGGAAACAGCAGTGGGGGGGGTGCCTGGAAGCCCCCCAGGCTCCAGCACAGGCCGGCCCCTCCCTGGCCAGGTGCTGTGGGTGCAGCCTGCACACACAGCCACAAGCATGAGCAGGAGGAGGGGCGAGGCTGGAGCCTCTCGGGGCCTCCCTGGCTCTCTCTGCAGCTGATCTAGGGGTCCACCCACAGCCCTCTAAGGGGACCCACCTTTGAAAGAAGCTCTTTTTCATGTCCAGGCTGTAGATTCTAAAGTTTCTCAGGGGAGAATTATTCAGATAGATATTCCCAATTAAACCTGTGGGGCGGAGGTGAGGAAAGCTGAGCAAGGCCAAGGGCCGGGGAGAGTTCCAGGAAGTTCCAGCGACTATTCTCCCAGAAGTTCACACTCCCTGAGGAGTGCGGCACGTGGCATAAAGCACCCCCACAGACCCCAAAGGTGAGGAGGATGAGCGCTCTGCACCGTGTGCCAAGGCCCAGGGTCTGCATGGAAGAACACATGGAGGGCAAGGATGTGCTGAGGAAATCAAGGGCAAGAACACATCCGGCCTCCTTCCGAGAAGGATGCTCCCCCTGGGGGTCTGAGAATTCCAATACAATAAGATGAGGCCAGAGGGGCACATGACCGAAGGGTCGCAGTGCTGTTAGCCTAGCTTCAAGGTCAGTTTCGTGGGGTCCCACACTACACGGATCTAGAACCCCAGCCAGAAATCTGCATGACCTAGGATTAAAGATCTGTTTTTTAAGCATTTCTGTTGGGAACAGATGGCAGTGTGACACGGGTGTTCGAGTCTGGGGAACTGCACACACTCGAATCGCGATGAATTAGTGCCCTGGGGAGGGACCGGCTCTGTGGGCCCCAGAGCAGCCCCGCGGGCCACTCCACCGTGGAGCAGCTGGGCAGTCTCCTCCCACACAGTCGGGGGGACCAGCCTGCAGAGGGACCCATGTGGAGTGGTCGCTGAGACCAAGAGGGGGACTGACGAGGGAAGAGGGAGGGCCAGCTGGGCATGATGGAAGCTACTCTGAGGCCCTCCCGAGAGGGCTGCCCCCCAGGGCCCAGGAGGCCCCCGATGGCTGCACCCTCAGCTGCCCAGGCAGGCAGAAGGCACACGAGCTTCCTCATTTCCAGCAGACACTCCCGAGGGGGCTGGGAGTCGCCAGTGCCCCTCACCACAGGGGCAGCCACTTTGGGCTCTCACCCCGTGACTCACTCACCGACACCGCGCGGGGCCCAGTGCGTCCTCTGTGCCCGACCGTTCAAGGGACAGACATGGACGAGCACTGCACGTGGCAGCACCGATTCCTTAACAGGGCCAACGTTTCCATTTCTTTTACTCATGCTTATGCATTAAAAGTGTGACTCTAGAAAGCAGTAATGGTGTCCATGTGCAAAAGAATACCCTGGGATATGAGACTCAGTCTTGTTTCTGAATATAAATAAATAAAAACTTTAAATGAAAGATTTTTTTCCTCAGAGTTTGGGCCCAAAATGTGGGTGTGCTTTATGCATGGCAAAGTATGGTGTGCAAAAAAACACAACTTTTAACACACAAGAAGGAAGAGGTGAACTTAAACAGAAAGGTCTAGAAAGCCAGGAAAAATGTGATGAATTACTCGACTATTCCCAGAAGAAGACCCAGAGGCCCTGCTTGCTCTGTGCTCTACATTCCCTCCCCACTGGAATGAGACCACCAGTGATTTCCCAAGGTGGACCAAGACAAGAAATTCAGGGCAGGGACCCCAAATGGACAGTCTTACGCCCTTTTTTAGATTTCTGGGTACTGCCTTACTTGGTATCCATGCCCCCCAACCCCACAGACCAAGCAGACAGTGCCCAGCCAGAGCAGACTGAAGCCCAGGGAGACCCTCAGAGGCCAGCTCCTCGTCCACTGGGTGCCCAGCACAGGCACGAGGACAGCCACACAGGGAGCGCTGATGGGGAAGAGCTCAGACCAGGTGGGCGTTTGACTGATGTCCACCTCGTTCTAGTGGGCCTTCCTGACCCCCCTCCCTGTACTGGTCTCCCTGACCCCTGTCCCAGCCCTGGTCTCCCTGACCCCCCTCCCCGCCCTGCTCCTCCTGACCCCCTCCCTGCAATCAGCCCAGGGGTCTGCTGAGGAGCTGGGATGGAGAAAGGTTAGCCAGGTGAATGCTGATGTCAGCAGCTCTTCTCTCAGCACGTGCTGTGACCCACCTTTGCGCTGGTCATCAATGGCATCCCCGTAGTTGACTCGCCCTCGATTCTCCACCAAGATCCTCAGCACGGTGTAGCCCTGCCGGGACACCGGGGCGGGTGATGGGCGCCTGAGTGCCCAGCCCTGAGGCCACCACTCCTCCCGGGAGTTTCTCGTCGGGCCCCCAGTCCTCCCCTGAGCACCGAGGCTGGCAGTGAAAGGTCCCTGATGGTCAGAAAGCACAGCTCTGCCCACTCTCCACACCCAGCTCTGGATGAGGCGCCTCCTGTGTTTTAGGTCTTGCTCTTTGACTCTCCAGAAATGACTGGCACTAGCCCCCACCCCACTCCCCGGGAAACAAACCTGGGTCAAGGGGATGGCGATCTTCTTCCTTTCGTAGTCCAGGAATCCAACAGACACTGTGTTCACGAATACCTGCCAGACAGACATAGCCCACAGGTCGACAGGAGGGAGGAGTAAGTGGAAGCTCTGCTAAGCAAAGGGAGAGGACACCTGTGTGCACTGCGGAGGGGCGAGGCCGGCACAGAAGGAAATGAGAGCCCAGGACCGCAGCTGACAAGGACCGCGCAGGGGGTGGTGAGGGCCCATCGCCACGCGCCAGTGCTAAGTGGAGGAACAGCCAGTGTACGCTGTAAGGCTCCATCACTGCAGGGCCACGGGAATTTAGCAGAGACACCTTTACCTGTCCCCGGTCACGCACAAGACCACTGAGGACACCAGAGGAGTCGATGGTTGTCTCATACAGAGTATACCCGAAGGACTGGCCACTTCCGTTGTTTATTGGCAGGTTCTCCATGTTGATGGGCTTCTCAGACCTGGTTGGCTGTGTAGAGAAAAGATGGCAGGAGGCACAGGGCTAGATCAAGGAGGGAAAAGATGGCAACCTCATCTGGGTCCCTGTGTGGGAGCACAGGGTGGCAGACAGACGCCCCCACCCCCACTGCCCACCGCCAGGGACCAGGGCCCCACAGGGCAGCGGCGGGACAATCTCTTTTTATTCCGATTTCTCCTGGCTCCCCAGAGTCGCAGGGAAGGGGGCTATGAAAGAGGAAGATGTAAAAATAACAGATGAAGCCCTGACACCCAGTGACCATTGTTTGGGCTCACCGCATCCTCTGCCTCTGCTGCAAGAGGTGCACCCCCCTTCTCAGAGGAGGCGGACTGACCTCCCACCTCTGACCTCTGTGCCTCCCCCTGTGCCCACTGAGGCTGCAGAGAAAGAGTCCACTTGTGGTGCCCAGTCCTTCTGCAAGTTCTTTTTGTTCGTCCCCACTTTCTCTTCCAGCAGAGTCTGTTCCCTTTACTCTGACTTCTAAAGCTGTGGAGAGGGCCTCAAAGTCATCAAGAGCTGGTTTTCCCTTCCTGCAGGACAGCTGCTGGGAGGCCTTCCTGGCCTGGCAGCCCTGCTGGCAGCACTCACCTCCCCCAGGAACTGCAGGGCGTCCCACAGCGACAGGTAGAGAGCTGGCATCAGTGGCTCATACGCAGTCTTGGGAAGAAGCTCAGGTGGGGCAGGAAGAGGGCCACCTACAACACATGGGACCATCCTGAAAGGAGACACAGTCACTGCCTCCTCCAGCCCCCAACCCTGGCTCCTGCCCACAGCCCATATCCTCCTTAATCCTGCACACAATGGGGAACAGTCCCGCCCTCTGATGCACCTGGACCCCGCCAGGCCCACAACAGCAGGGAGAGCACAGGGGCTTTCTCCAGAACTCAGGAGTCCTAACACCTATAAAAAGGCAAACTAGGCAAGACACAAACCGTGATGAAAACGGTCTCTCAAACTGGCCCGTCTCCAGGCTCTCTGGGAGCCTCAAGGGTCTACTGGGAGTGAGGAAGGGTCCCAAAGAGGTAACTCTGCGGGGGGCCTTCGAGCAGAAGCGAGGCCCCAGCTGGCGTTGGGCCTGTTGTTGCCAGGTACCTGAGATGGAGCCAAACAGTTCTCGGAGCTTGGTGTACTTGGCCGTGTAGTCCCCGGCTTCAGTCAGCACTGCGTCATAGTCTGCAAGACACCAGGGCGCTGTCACTGGCCACCCTGCCTCAGTGTCTGTGGCAGCAGAAAGAGCAGGCAGAGGTGGGCCGGGCAGCACTTCCCGGTCCCGGCAATCTGGGAGGCAAAATGCCTCTGGTATGGGACATCATGAAGGGACTACGAATACGAAATACTATAAAATGCCACCAAAACTGCCCGTGACCACAGCAAAACCCTAAACTCCAGGCATCTTCCCAGCCTCGTGGGGAAGGCCTGGGTGGGAAGAAGCGGGTGCTCTCACCTAATGCCCTTCCCGCCTGCCGGTGCCTCCCACACCTCCTGCAGTGGCTTGCAGAGGCTCCCGGGCAGCCAGCCGGCTCCAACTCCCAGAGCAAACCTCCCCCTTCCCCGCACTCCAGAGCCAAGGACACTCAAGGTGCCAGAGCTGTCCCTCAGGACCCCCATAAAAATCCAGAGACGCAATTGTTGGGTGTTGCAGGGAGGGTCGGAATTGAGGAGTACTTGCCGTAGCTGGTGACGTCGGACTTGTATTCATGAAAGTGCATGGCGCCATTTATGAAGCCAAAGTTGGTGCCTCCGTGGAACATGTAGAGGTTGATGGAAGAGCCGGCATCAATAATGGCAGACACTGTTTTCAAAACATCTGCAGGAAGAGGCAGGAGAGCGGGTGTGCAGAGTGAGTCAAACTCTGAGACAAGCCCCAAGGCCCCGGGGCACTCTCACCTTCCCCAGTCCCTCCTCACGGTCAGCTCCGTGGCTCTGTCCTCCAGCTTTTCACTAAAACCCCAATCACAGGAGGACAAGGAGAAGCCACTGAAATCCTCGCCCTGGAGCCTGGGCCTTCCAGTTGTTTTTAAAGCCCCAGCCAAGGCTCCACTGACTGCGGCACGGACAGCCCGCTGCCCCGTCAGCCCTCCGCCTCCACCTGGCATGTTTCCCAACGTCACTCCCACTTCCTGAGATGCAGAAAGACAGGGCTCGCACTAGGGATGTAGTGCTGACTCCCTGCCCAGTCCTACCTGTATTACAGGGCCAACCAACAACTCAAAGAGGTGGTATCGAAGGAGAAATGTAAGTAATATATACAAGCAGTACTGCCTGAGGAAATGCAAAATGACAATAACCTGTCTGATGGCAAATATTAAAGATTATTTTAATACCTAGTGTTGATAAATATTGGGAAACAGCTCCTCTTTTCAATAATGGAGAGTTAAGAATTGCTGCAATCTTTCTGGAAAGCAGTTTAGTAAATATGTATCAAAACTGCATTCATGTATCAACTGTATTGCTGGAAAATTCTCAGGGGGAGAATTATGCCAGGTGTGCAAAACTGGGTGTTCGAGAATGCTCACTGAAACAGCGTTCCCATTACAGAACACACAGGAAACAAACTCATGTTCATCCTCAGAGGTGGGGTAAATACGCAGATTTAGGAGCCAGATACCACAGGCTTCTTTGCATTCCTCAAAACAGTGCTGGAATTTGTGGCTAACAGTAGAGAAAGGCTGTCCACCTGTGCTCTGCACAAAGGACAGAGACGGCGGCATTTGCGTGCCTCTCTGCCGGGAGTGCACACGGGGCTGCGGACGGACACAGAGGAGGAGCTGCCACGACAGCCCACACCCACATCCCAGTGGTTTCTCTGGGTGCTTGGATCTTTATTTCTTCTTTAGACAGTTTCTGTATTTGCTGGATGCTTGCAATTGGCATGTGTTACTGATCCAATTACAAACACATCATAAATCAACATTGAAAGTCCTACTGTTCACTCAGATGTCAAGACAAATGATCCTGGAATGTCAACAGCAGACTACGACATGCAAAGAGCCCCAGAATCGATTAGCAGAGAACACGGGACTCACTCCTGTTTCTTGGGGCAGCATGCCCGGTGGGTACAGGCAGCGCCAAAGCACTTACCAGAAGAATCCAGGATGTTGTGCGGGCCTCCCCAGGAGTCAAACCACCCTGTCCAGTACTCCATCACCATCTTGGGCTGAACCCCCTGGGCACCACAAAATCAGAAGTTAGCTGGTCAAAAAAGGCAGATGGGAGGAGCCCTTCCAGGAGGGGAAAGCCAGCCCCTCTGTTCTGCCAGCTCTTCCCCTGGCCTTGGAGGCCACTGAAAGCAGAGCACAGGCGAGGACGAATGCGCCTGCACCGGCTGAGCCTCCACGTGTGGCCTCCGCAGGGCAGGTGGCGAGTGGAACGTGCGCCCAAAGGCAGCACGTGCAGCAGACCCTGCCGCGTGCAGTGCTGGTGAGAAAGCACGGGCATCTGTTCAAAAGCGAGTCTTCGTCCGAGTTCAGCACCTGCCTGGGGAGTCTCTTCCTACATTGATCCACTTTCTGGGTCAAGCCACGCTTTGCCTATCGTCTTCCAGGAGGGAAGAATGGTCTCGCAGGGTAACCACTTCTGAGTGGCTTACTGTGGACACAGAACCCTTCGGCCTTCTCCTTTTAGCTGGAAGAGTGGCTGGGAGAGCCAGAGGGCTGCAGAGTGGGCCCCTCTTCAAGGTCCAGTTTAGTTTCAAAAGCAGTTTGCAAACCCGGAGTCGAAGAGCAGGGCGCTGCAGCGCAGCTATTCCCAGAGCCCCAGAGCCTGGCTGGGAGACGGACTCCAGCACAGGGCTGCCCGGCGCTGCCGCAGCACCAGAGCTGCTCCTGCGGTAGGAGGCGGAGGGCAAGGATGGATCCGCTGGCATTTCAGGATCCGCACAAGAGCCTTCCTCGTTAGTCCTGCACCTTCTCTGTTAGCGACAGTGATACATTTAGATGCAACTGAACGCAAAGCAAGAAAATCGGGGCCAAGGCCACAGGGCAGATACATGGGCCATCAAGTAAATGGTACCAAGCATGCCAGGGGAAAGGTCGGAGTAGAGCAAAGATTTTTTTTTTTTTTTGGCAAGACTGGTGCCTTGGTTTTATTTACCGCCATCGGCCTCCAACAAAGGAACAAGGGACATATGGGAAGACGTTCAGGTCACTGGAAAGGAGATGCAGACTCTGAGTTCCGCAGGTCGGGGTGACTTGCAGGGGCTGGGTCAGGGTGGGGGCGTCCACCCACTGCCCCAGCCACTGCGCACTGTGGCCCCAGCCAGAGCTGCGCACTCGCTCAGACGTGGGCACCTTCACCTGCTGCTCACAGCTGTGTCCTCTGGCTGCCCCACAAGGCTGTCTCCGGAACTGTGGACTGTGACAGCGGTAGCCCACTGCCATGGGTGCTGGGAAAACTAAATGAGATGATGCGGATGAAGGCCTGGGCGCACAGCACCTGATATGAGGAAGTGCTCAGGAAACATTCGCCTTCATCATCTTCATCGTAGAGTGTGGATGTGAAGGACCAGCGAGGTGCTGCCTGGTGCCCGAAGGGGAGCAGATCGAGGCCTGTTCTGTTGGACCATTCGAAGGAGCCTTTGATCTAAGGCAGCAGCCACATCCCCTCTGTACGGGGAATGGCCATCTCTGAACCTTGGACAGAAGGCCTTGAGCAGAGCCACTCTGTCAAAAGGATGCCCGGCAGGGGGCCGTGGGGGAGGCCAATGCTCCAGGGTAACTAGGAAGATATGAACATGAGGCACTGCTGTCTGGGCACTTTCCACGCATGACCCCGTGTGACTCCCAAACAGCCCTGTGAGTGGGTGCTGCCATTGCCCCTGTTCCTGGAAGAGGGGGTACACCCCGCGGGCGGCAGGCAGCCCGCAGCTCCCTGGACTGCCCCTGGATGGACGTCAGGCAGGCACAACTCTGTGCAGTCCCTAGGGGATTGTTGGGTACGTCCCCCAAACAGGCTGCAGCTCCACAAAGCCGGAGGCCCCATCGCCCTCGTCCCTGCAGTGGAACCAGCCGAGCCCCACCCCAGGGCAGAACGGGCATGCCAGGGCCAGTGGAGGAGGGCAGGACAGCAGGAGGGGCTGCAGGGGGCCCACCAGCATCCACTGTCTTCCCCAGTTTGCCTCACGCAGTCTGCCTGCCCTGCCTCTTCCATGGCAGTTTCCCCACCCATGCTGCTGGTCCCCGCGAACGGCAGCCATCGCTGCATCATACACACGCACGGCCCTCATCCTAGGTGACTTTGCACAGCTGTGCCTTCAGTCCCTGACTCTGCTCTAAAAATACGCAGTGGGGGGAGACCACCCAGCAGCTCTCCTTGGTGTCTTTTCACGGGACACGGACGGCTCTGCTCCGGGCCCAGGGAGCGTGCACTTATCCCACAGAGGTGGCAGTGGGGGGGGGCAGTCACACCTTCAGTAACATGCGGCGACACAGGAGCCCTCAGTGCTGTGAAGGGGCCCCAGCTACCGAGGCCCCAACACAGCTAAACCCTCAGGAGAGAAACACACACTCAAGAGAAATCAGTCAGAACAGGATCTCACTGCAAACTCCCACGCGTCCGGTGGATGCAGAGATGCGTCAGAAACTCCTCTCTCCTTCGCACGTGGAACGGGCCAGGCTTCGCGCCACGCAGGCCGCCATAATCTTTCTAGGCCTACAGGCGCCTTACAGGTTACGGTCAGACATGTACAGTACAGGGCAGGGAGGTGCCCCCCGCCTTGGTCCCAGTGCCCAATCTGAGCAATCTGGACCTAGTGGAATCCACAAAATTCTAGACATGAGGCCTCTGTGAGCACACCAAGCCCAGAGCTCCAAAAACGACCCCCTTTCTCAAGAGGAGGAAACCACATTCATGCATCAGCCCACACAGCAACAGCTCAGAGCAGTTTCCACACTGGCCTCCCCACCCCTCACCCCCAGCCCGGGGCATGGCTACGTGGTGCACAGGTGGGGTGGCTGTGATGTTCAGTGTGCAATGAGGGCTGTCAGACAAAGGCTGAGAGCCCGGAGCCCCGCTGCCCATGTGGGGACGCTGAGCACCAGTGCTTCCCGACGGAGAGGCCCAGCTTAACCCTTCCTCGGAACCCCACCCTCAAGTCCAGCAGGGCGGGCAGCCCCCTGCCCCCGACTCACCTGGACACTTGAGAGAAAGGCGCTCAGTGACTGCAGCTCGTGCTTTGACTGCAGGTTGATGGTGGCCAGCACTGTGAGTGGGAAGAGGGGCAGAGAAACCGAGGATTGTCTGGAAGCCAGAGAGACTCTGTGAGTCACCCCGGGCCTTTCTTAGTTCGCCAGCAAAGTAAATTCGCTAATGTCGACCTTCCCTCCCACCTCCAATTAGAGTGGAGTTCCACCAATGTCAGATTTGCCTTGTTCATCTTGACAGCTGCACCGCTCAGCACAGCCGCGCAGGGCAGTCGCCCACGAAGCATGTGTTCTTGGTTAACTCGGTTTTTACAACCAGAACGTGCGTTTCTGTTAAAGACTCGTCTGCAGGAGCCAAGAATCTGATCTTTACCCTGCACCTCGAGCATCTAGTACAAAGTAACAAGTTAAATAAAGACGCCCCTTTTATCTTTTAGAGGAGGGTTAGTTTTCTAGTCTATCCAATAATGTGTTGTTTTTATTTAAATTAATTTTTAAACGGCTCTCCACCCAGGAAAGGTATGCCTGAGAAAGATGTGCTGCATTTGGCCTGCGACCTCGGATCCAGGCCCACCCCGGTGGGGAACTCGGCTCTGAGGCTCCCGGACTGCTCTGCCCACCAGGCGTGGGCCTCACTCGCATGGGCCATCGCAGAGGCCCCTCACACGCACTGGCCATCGAGGAGGCCCAGCAGTTCCGCACAGGCCTGGCCAGCTGGGCGTCTTCCCACTTCCCTGTCCAACAAGAGCCCCCGACCACCAGTGATCAGAAGCAATAGTGGGGCTCCTGAGGCTGAGTAATTCGCCTCAGTATCACACGACTGGTGAGCAGCAGAGCAGAGCTGCACCTCCAGGCCCATCTGACACTGACCCACTGTCCTGTGATGTCACTGTCCCCAGAAAGCCCTTGGGCAGGACCCTACATGAGGCCCCTCCCCACCTAAAGTAGAAACTCCTGAAGACAGGAGCGGGTCTGAAACTGCCCAGGCAGAAACCGCACGCCAGTGGGATCGGCAGGGCTGACCGAACACGGTATCTGTCCCCTCCTCTCCCCAGACTGCACTAAAATAAAAATAAAGGGACGAAAAGGCAGGAGGCCCTGAGGAACCAGAGCTGGAGAGGAGACGCTGCAGAGTTGGCTTCCAGAAAATCTCAGGAGACTGGAAAAGCAGGAGGGTTGGTACGCGGCCTAGGAAAGTAGGAGTCGCGACAGGCTCGTCACCCCACGGCCCGCGAGGCCCTGCGCAGGGAACGACAGCCCACCCCCTGCTTGAGCGTTCCTCGAGCCCCTGTCCCCACGGGTGGCTGTCCTGCAGGGAGGTGGGTTTCTCTAGGCTGGGAGGGATCGGGCGCAGCAGAGGTGGCTGAGAGATGTGTCGGGGGAATGAGGACCTGCAAGGGGCGTCCTGCGCATCCCTCCCACTTGCTTCAAGAACACCTCCAGCAATACACCAAAGGAGTCTTGTCTGAAACAGTTTACAGAGCAAAAGACAAGTTCTCCAGACACTGGCATTTGGGTTTGCCCCGTTGAGACAGCCCCCCATGGCCTGGTCACGCCACCAAGCAGCACACCTGTCCCCAGACTCTTCAAGTATCAGTCCCCGAGTGGCAGGTAAGTGCCTCTTCCTTAAACTGCTCAGTCCAGAGCCAGGCAATTGAGCAAATGCCCTCACATTGGGAGACTGGAGCAGAACAGGTGGATGTTAAAAAAAAAAAAGTAAAATACCTTCAGAGAGAAAGAAGAAAGAAATACCTATTAAAAAGTATGCCATGGGGATTGCTTCTCGGCCTTTTGGCTAAGATCAAGTGTAGTATCTGTTCTTATCAGTTTAAAAAAAGTATGCCATGGGAAAAGAAATACACTCGAGAAAGGCAAGACCCAGGAAGTGACAGGACTGGGTGATTAAGAGCTGAGGAAATCACCCAGAAAACAGAATGAAAGGGCAAAGAGATAAAAGAGCAAAAAGATTAGCAACTTAAGAGTTGCTATGAGAGCCCAATCACAAATAACAGGAGCAACCAAGGACCAGAAATGGGAGGGGAAGGCACGTATGTGAAAGGCAGCAACTGAATGCCCCCCACTGGGGAATCATCACGGCTCCACCCCCAGTGGCCGCAGTGGTGCCCCAAAAGGAACCTGCCTCATGTCCAAGGACAGCACTGGAACCCAGACTGCTCAGGACAAAAGGCACATTCTCAAATTCCCCAGAAACAGCAGCGGGACGGACAGAGCATGTGCGACCGCTGTGACCCAGAATGCCCTTGCTCTTCAGCATGGCAACAGTGGGCGCCAGAAGATAATGCAGTCCTGCCCTCAGAGTTCTGGGACACAGATCCACAGGGACGCAGGCCAGCCTCGGTGACCACGCAGGACACCCATGCAGGTTAGGGACGTGAGGTCACTGACAGCACCCTGGGACGCCGTGCAGAATCTGACACGTACAGGCATTTGAAACCCCCCGTGACAGATGTGTGGAAGGTGCCAGTAAAGCATTTAAGAGAAGGGGGGGGGGGTAGAAGGAAAGGAGAATTGGAAAGAAAAATAAAGGGGATAATTACATCAAGTGTGACAACTGTGCACACAAAGTGGGTCTCTTCATATGCACGGCACAGACTGCTGGACACACTGCCAGGCCCATGGAGGACATCACCTGTTGGTCATGTGCTGACCATCGCCAGCAATGGACACTGGGAGGTGGCCACACAGGGTGGGAGAGGTGGCCGGGAGAACCAGAACCTCCGCCAGAACACGCATCGGTAGGTAGCCCTTTAAACCCACAGAGGCAGAGTGCTACAGGTGCATTATTTGGAACCACCAAGAAAATCCCAGAAGGAAAGTGAAAGAGTTCAAAGCAGCCATTTCTGGAGAGTGGGAGCAGGGAGGCTGCCCGGCATTTCGTGGTAAGCATTTCTGTGACTTTACTTTTTAAGATTTTACTTATTTATTTTTAGAGGGTGGAAGGGAGGGAGAAAGAGAGGGAGAGGAACATCAGTGTGTGGTTGCCTCTCACATGCCCTGCACTGGGGACCTGGCCCACAACACAGGCATGTATCCCAGACTGGGAATCAAACCAGCGACCCTGCAGTTCACAGGCTGGCACTCAGTCCACTGAGTCACACCAGCCAGGGCCGGTTTGTTGTTTATGGCTCGTGAATGTGTAACTATAATTCCTTTTTTAATTAATTGAAAAATACAACATCTCAGGCAGCAGCAGCAGGCAGTGCTCCTGAGGCTGGGAGGGGTGGAGGGATGCAGGATGGCTCCCAGCTCCCACGCAGGCTTTGCACTGCAGGATGCCAGCACAATGAACACCTGCAGCAGCTCAGCCGGCCCTGCCTCCTTACCTGCGGCCAGTCAGGGCTCGCCCAACCACCCACACCCTGGCCCTGGCCTAACCACCGGAGCTGGAGGCTTTGAAATCAGCTACAGGGAGACAGCACCACCATGTGGAAACAACAGGAACAGCGGCTGGGCCTCATCAGGAGACAGGGTCTGGGTGCTTGGGGAACTCACCCCACCTGGGGATCAGAGCCTTCTCCAGCCAGTCCATCCAACAGTCACTCCCTGACTGCCTACTGCACACTGGGCACTGGCCCTAGGGCTACGGAGATGCGTGCCCTCTCTTCAAGTGTCCAAGACAGTGCAGGGCCACACAGAGGCACAGTAAAGTGCATGTGCTACAGCCGAGACCAGCACAGTGGCCAGAGCCCCGGGGAGGGTGGGCCGTGGCCTGTCCAGGCCCCAGAGCAGCCAGGCCCCGCACAGACTACTGCTGTGGTGGAACAGGAAAGTCACAGAATGACAGGACTTCCCACAACATCAGAATGTAAAATATACCGGAGCACAGCCCGAGGATGAACTGCAATTTTGAATGGTGCTCAAAGGCAGTCTTGCTCTGAGGTGACCTCAGGGAAGTTGGGAGGAAATGGAGCAACTGTGCCCTGCGCACCTGGCAGAAGCCGGGGCATCCAGCCTGCCTGAGGCACAGCAGGGAGGCCAGCAGGGAGGAGCAGGGAAGATGGGCAGGAGACAGCCAGCCGCCGGGAAGCAGGGGCTGTGGGGAAGGCCCTTCGAGGTCACTCTCAGGGTCAGGGCACACCTGGCGTTGAGGCAGGGGTGGGGCGATCTGAATGACATTCTCAGAGGCTGCTGTGTTGACAGAAAGTTTAAGGGAGTCAACAGTGGGGAGAAAGGGAGATTAGTTCCAACATGGTTGCGATAATGCAGAAGGAAGATGATGGTCATAGTTGAGGTGGTAGAACCTACTTGAATTTCAGATAAACTTGGAAGTGAAGGCTAGAGATAAAAAGGGTTTGCTGGTGGCTGTGTGCCGGGCATGCAGGAGGAGAGGGGCTGAGAGCGACTACAAGGACCGGGGCTGTGTAACTGGGGGCAATGGAGCTGCAATTTGCCGGGAACAGGAGGGGCAGGTTCTACGCAGAAATGGGAAGGTTCAGGTCCCTGATGGTCCCCGAGACTGGCAGCCTCCCAGGGCAAGCCCAGGAGTTTAGGAAAGGCTTCGTTACCGCACAGAGATGGCACTTAAAGCTACCTGATGGCATTGGCAGATGTCACCAGATAGAAGGCTCCTTCCAAGGAGTGAGCCTTGAAGGATTTGAACATTTTAGCTCAGGGAGAGAGAATGACCAGGATAAAACACCAACAAGGAGCTGCCCATGAAGTCGGAGAGAAATGGGGAAATGGTGTCCCGGATGCCAAACGAGAAGACAGATTCAAAGGGAAGAGAAGGATGGTGGATAATAAATAAAATTGGATGGTCAGAGGCAGCAGGGACTAACCAGTTAAATTTATCGCATGGGCTTGGGGAGGTGGAATGTGCTCCTCCTCCCGGCTCTAAGAGGGATGGGAGGAAAAGGGTGAGGGGCCCCTGAGTGCGCACAGGGGAGAGGTGCTGAAAGGGGAGCCCGCCAGGGAAATGAGTGGAGAGACTTTTCTGTTAGAAGAGAGAAATAACAACATGTTTATGTGCAGTGGGGATGATCCGATGGAGAAAAGCTGATGACCCAGGGCCTAAGGTGGAGGTGCTGAGCAAGCCTGTGAGGGGTGAGAGGACTCCCTCTGTGGGTGGGGAACAGCGGGTGCATCTGCAGGACCAGCAGAGGCAGAGGAGAAGTGCAGGGCTGGGGAGGGGAAGGCGCCCGCACGCTCATGCACGGACGGCTTCCTCCCTGCCAGCCAGCTGCCCTCTCTGTGAGGGCTCCTCAGACCCTGGGAGGACTCGGGCATCTCTGATTTTGTCAGAACTGGAGGAGGCCATCCTCCTAGCACATCCAGTGCTTCATCTGCACGGCCCTCTTGGGGGCGTTCAGAGACCTCTGATGCCCAGCTCACGTTCCCTGGTCTCACAGTCTGCAGAGCACGGCCAGTGTTAAGTGCAAGTAGAAAAGGAAGACCAACTACTGGGCCGGCCACAGCAAGTCCACCTCCGACACGGAGCCTTTGCAGGAGCCCAGCGCCGTGCTGCAGGTAGAAGAACAGGCCTCAGAGCAACTCTGCAGGTGGTAAGACTGTCAGGGGAGCATGCACAGCCAGGCCTAAACACTGCCTGCCCCACCTCCATGCAGGTACCTCCGTGGATGACCCCCTTGCTCAGGCCATCCTTGTTGTCTGAGGTCAAGAGCAGCTCCACGATCCCACGGTCCTCCAAGGCCTATGGAGGGAAATGAGAATCGTCAGAGCCCGTCATTCCTCAGAGCTCCTGCTGGCTCACAGCTGCCAACGAGGCAGCAGTTAGAGAAAGCGGAAGAAATTCAAACACAGCTTTTATTTCTCTGCCAGATACAGAGAGACCCGCCCGGTCTGTGTGCACCATGTTCAACAAAGCTCCTGTCTGCAGGAAGTCCGGCCCTGGCAAGGTGCCCTGTCTGGCCGCTGTGCTGTTCCTAGGCACGACCACCCAGCAGCCAGCTCAGCAAGGCCAGCTGCCATACTGTCACCTGGCAAGAGACCACAGGGACCCAAGAGTGGGTCAGGGCCTCAGGGACAGCCCACTCCTCCCGCTTCACCCTCACCAGAGGCAAGCAGCCTGTCCCTTCCACATGGCCAGCATGGAGGGCCCTGGTTACCGCCACACCACAGTCACATGCCCATGGTGTGGGGCATGCACCCAGTAGAACGGTAAGAGCTCTCTGAAGGTTGTAAATCAAACGATGAAGAAGTAGAAGGAACACACACTGTGCTCAGGGGCAAAACACTGTTTTTGCTCGAAACGCCCTCTGACACGGCGAAGCCTTCACAGTCGGGGCCTTCCGCCAAGCGCTTTCCCGACACAGACGGCCCCCGGCAGCCTCACCCCCAGCTCTCAGCAGCACAAGTGGGAGCCTCGGAGAAGTCAGGCAAAGTGCCACAGGCTTGGAGCTGATGCGCAAGCACAGACTGAACCCGGAGACCGCCTGCCTTCTAACGCTCTGGCTGGGCTCTAGGCAGCTCGGGACCAGAAAGCCCTGCCAGGGGGATCTGCCTTTCATTTCACTGCAGACGTTATACAAGACTGCTATTTCAGCCCGATGCTCTTGGAAACAGGGGAGGCAGAAAGACAACCCAATGGGTGAATAAAGCTCACGTCTGCTCCCAGGCCCTGGTAGGAAGGAGCAGAGGAGCCTCATTCTTGGGACAGCAGAGGCTGCAGGAGCGCAATCCACTGGGCAAAGTGAGATTTTTGCCAAACCCTGAAAAGCCCCCACCTCGCAACTCTCCTGCCAGCCAGTCACTCACTGACATTTCGCAAACTTTGCTTAGGTAGGTTCCCGCCACATGCATGGAGCATCGAGGGGGTTGGAAGGCTGAAAACATGGACGGTGACTGTCTTTTATGGCTGCACCAGTCCCCCATGACCATCCATGGACACTGATTGGCCGTTCCCAGGGCACCAGCCATTTGCCAAGCGCAGGTCAGGGCCTCGTGCCTGTCATCCCACTGCTCCCTGGCAGCCTCAGAGAAAGGCATTCTTGTCCCCCCTGTGCACATGACACGATAAAGCTGAGAAAGGGAAGGTCATTTGTCCAAGGTCCTCTGTGCCAATGGGGTCCCCATGCCCGCAATGCCCCAGGAAAACCTACGTGGCAGCTCAAGGGGGCACCCTCCCAAGACCTCAGGATAATAGGCTGGGCTGCCGCTTCTCTCTGTCCCCCGTCTCACACGGGGGTGCCTCTCCCAGACACCAGGAAGACAGGACTGAGCAGGAGAGGTCCCCAAGCGGGTGCCTTCTCCTCTCCTGCCCTCACTGCAGCTCAGTAATTCAGTACCCACCGGCCAGAGACACCCCAGCACCCAGAGACAGGCAGAGGGAGGAGATGAAGCAGGAGGTGTCCCCTTGTCCTGCACCCCAGCTGGGACCTTGCCCACCAATTCACACAGAGAGGAAGCTGGAGGCGCAGCCTAACCCGGCAGGGGCCAGACCTGACCATCAGGACTGAGCACTTCCCTTTCCGGACTCAGGACGGTCACTCTTCCTCAAATCAGCCTTGCTCCCCATGCTGAAAGCATTCTGCATATGAAGAAGGGTAGAGACGAGTGACCGAGAACCTACAAGCTGATGCACTCAAGCCTTGCTCTACCTGTCTGCAGGGACTGAAGTACTTTCCAGATGGAAATGAATCTGCCTGTGATGGCAAGAGATGCTGTCCAGGATCCAAGGCCAGGGCAGTCTTAATCTGACTGATCCAGAGGCCACTTAACATGGCCTCAGCTCACGCCGTGGCCACACATTCTAAGGACTTTGAAACCAATGCCGAGGACTCTACTGAAGCCTTGCCGATTGGCCACAGTCTGCCTGGACCAGCGCTGAGCCATGTGACCCACACACAGCACCATCCAGCTACGCCAGTAACTTCATTAGTCCTGCTCTGCAGAAGAGGAAAGGGAGGGCTAGAAACACTAGCAGTTTTAAAGGTCTCAGCTACTAAGGGGCAAAAGCCAGAGCTGAATATTCGCCTGCTCCTCCAGCCCTGCCCTGCCCTGCCCTGAGCAGCCACCTATGAAATCAGGGGTTCGCCACCCCACCCTCGCACTGAAATCAGATGTGGGAGCACCAGAGTAGCCTGGGGATTTTCTACAATTCTCGGACACAGCCAATGTGTGGCAATGCTTCAGATGCTGGAACAGGAGCCGCCCCTCCGGGAGGAGGTGTCTAACCATCGCCACTCAGGTGAGCCGAGTCCTTTATGTGCAGACCCTGCGATGCCCCAGAGGCACTGCCAGCCCCGATCAGTCTCAGCCAGTACAGGGGCTAAGTGGCAGCCCCACGGAAATGCACATGCGGAGCAAGGACCCGCTCTCTGATAAAGGCACCGAGAGCTGTGGCGTCAGCACGAGGGCAGTGGCCGCCCAGGCTGCATTCTGGGGGCGGGACCGTGAGGAAAGGCAGAAGCTGGCACTTACTTTCTTGACATAAGGCATGTAGGCGGGGTCTTTGTTGTAGGAGCCGTATTCGTTCTCCACCTGTACAGCGATGATGGGTCCTCCGTGCTTGTACTGGGGAAAGGTGAGACACAATCAGACGCTGAGTCCGTACTGGGGACGGTGTGGCCTCTTTTCACCGTGCTTGTCACCAGTTAGTAGCAAAACACCCCATTTGCAAGCAAACACCTCAAAAGGTTTGGTGTGTAAATGAGAGTGAGGTCAGTAAGAGAGTGGGAAGCTCCGGGACCTTGTTCCCCTGTGGAAGCATCATATAGACAACTGCACACTGACCGAAATGCCTCTGTAGGAGCTCTGGAAGCCAGCCACACGTTTAAACAAAGAAATGCCCAATCCAGAAAAAGACATTCAAAACGGTATGAAATTGCGTGGTGTTTTGCTTGCCCGCGCCCTCCTCTCCCTGGTGTAGTCAGAATACAAATCCCAATCCTCAGTTCCCCTCCCTCAAGATCAAAGAAACAAAATGGAACTTGTCTGCAATGTTCTGGGCCATCTGTGGGCTGGGAGGGGTCTCAGCAGACTTGGGGCTGAAGCAGGAAGCATTATCAAAGTCTGGACCTCAGGGTGTGTCTTTCTTGAGAAACCTTTTCCAGAGATTCACAGCAGTGCCTCGGTACTCGTTCTTAACTCGTCCCCACGAGTGGTGAGCAAGGGTCAAGTAAGGAAGCGTGTAAGGAAGCATTTTCTCTTGTGGGGCAGCATCGTAACTCACACAAGTTCTAGCAAGTGCGTCGGGTAGTGACTAAGCACCGAGTCCGGAAACACATTTTTCGGGTCAGAGTACAAGTACAGGGTTTACGAGTTCTGAAGCTGGCGAGTACTGAGGCATGACTGTTTTCTGTTCCTTTGAATGAGCCATGTTTCCGCTTCTTGTACGTCTTACAGGTTTTTTGTTGTTGTTGTTGTTGAAAATTAGGCATTTAAATAACAGTCACCGCTCCCAGTCTTTGCAGATTTTGGGGGAACGCCTTCACTATTTAACGGGCTCCTAAGCCTTGAAATCAGCCTAGCTGAGGGTTTAATGTCTTCTCAGATAGTTCCTGGGCATCTGTCTCGTCTGGACTGTGTGACGTGTGTGAGTGTGTTTAGTGCACCAGCTGCTTTTATGACTCAATCTCCTAGGGTCTCAGCCCAGCTTCTTGTGGCCTTAAATGTCCCATGGTATTCCTCTGCCCTCACACCCCTGTCCCCAGACATCCCTAAGTCTGCAGTCCCCCAGCAGTCTTCACATGCTGCAAACCCACCACTGTCCTTAAAGAAACACACACGCTGGGCTTACTGGACAAAAGCCTTTAAACAACTGTCGTAAATATGCTCCAGGAGCTGGAGAACATCATGAACGAAGAAATCAGGAGAAAAATATATGAACAAATGAGAGTATTAATAATAAGACAAGCAATAAAAAATAGACAAATTCTGAAGCTAAAAAATACAGTATCAAATTTAAAAAATTCACCATAGGAGTTCAACATCAGATTCAAACCAGCAGCACTGAGAGTGGGCAAACTTGGGGATGAGTCATTTAAATGACTGAGTATGAGAAGACCAAAAAAAAGAATGAAGGAAAGTGAACAGAGCCCCGGGGACTAATGCAACATCAGCAAGCAGACTGCTATGCTCACTGTCTTCTCCCCAGAAGAAGGAAAAATAAAGGGGACAGAGATTTGAAGTAACAATAGCTGAAAATCTCCCAAACCTAAGGACGCATAGATACACAAACTCAAGAACCTGCGATGACTGATAAGTAGCACTAACCCAGTGACCCACACCAGGACACACAGAATCAAAGCATCAAAAGAAAAGATGGAAAGAGATTCTTGAAAGAAACAAGAGAAAAGCAACCTGATGTGCACAAAGGACCCCCAGTGAAACCATCAGCGGCTGTCTCATCAGACACCTTGCAGGACAAAGGCAGTGGAAGGATGTATTCAAAGTTCAAGGGGAAAAAAACTGAGAGTTCTGCAGACAACAAAACTGTGCTTCCAAAATGAGGGAGAAATGAAGACATTCTCAGACAAAGAAAAGCAGAAGCATGTTATTACCTCTAGACTTGCCTTACAAGCAACGCAACACGACATCTCTCATATGAAAAAAAGGACGCTGGGCAGTAACGTGCAGCCACATGAGAATATAAAGTTCTATGGTGGAAGTGCATACGTGAAAGATGTAAAAGCCAGTATCATTACAGTTTTAGTCCATAACTGCAATTCACGTTTACTTACAGGATTTGTCTTTAAGACAGATGCACAAGAATAATGACAAATCTGTCATAGTGGGCACACTATGGAAAGATGTAATCCGTGACATCAGTAACATAAAGGGGCAGAGCTGTAAAGGAGCAGAGTTTTTGTTTGTGGTTGAGTTAAACTGGCATAAACATGAGACAGAATGTCGTAAGTTCTAGAAAGTACAGGTATAGCAATGGGAGCCACAAGGAAAATAGCTATATAAAATACACAAAAGGAAATAAAAGGGAAATTAAAACTTGTCATTACAAAAAATTAATACAAAAAAAAAGGTCAGCAACGGAGACGATAAGGGAGAAAAAGCTATAAGACGCACAGAAAACAAATAACAAAATGGCAAAAGAAAGTGCTCGCCTATCAGAAATTACTCTAAATGTAAATGGATTAAGTTCCCAACCAAAAGGCATAGATTTGCAGAACGAATACAAAACTATACTCAACTATATGCTGTCTATAGGACACGCACTTTAGACCTAAAGGCACATGTAAGTTGAAGGTGAAAGGATGGAAAAAGATATTCTGTGCAAATAGTAACCAAAAGGGAACAGGGAGACTTTAGGTCAAAAACTGTTACAAAGAGACAATACAAGGTATTATACATACATACATATACACATATGCAGTTATATAATTATAAAAATAATAAAAGGGTCAATTTAGAAGATATAATGATTCTAAAACTATATTCACTGAACACCAGAGCTCCAAAGTATATGAAGCAAATTTTAGCAGAATTGAAGGGGACAGAAGACAGCTACAGAATAATAGAAGACCCCAACAGCCCACTGTCGATAACAGGTCGCTGACAGAAGGCTCACGAGGAACTACAGGACGGGAACAACGTGCAGATCAACTACACCTAACACAAACATACAAACACTCCACCCAACAACAGCACAACACACATTTTTTTCAACTGACATGGTGTGTTCTCCAAGATAGGCCTTATGTTAGGCCACAAAACAAATTTTAATATTTTAAAAGACTGAAATCAGAAAAAGTGTATTTTCTAATTACTATATAATGAAACTAGATCCCAAAAGGAGAAAGAAAACTAAAACAGTCACAAATGTGTGGAAACTAAACAACATGCTCCTAAACACCACTGGCTCAATGAAATAGATTTCATTTTTAGTATTTTTAAAACTAAAAATAGTTTTAAATAGTCTTGATACAAACGAACATGAAAGCACAAAACACACATGGGGTGCACAGCGCTGAGAGAGAAGGCTGTCACTGCAAACACATAGAGAAACAATGGTCTCAACTCAACCACCTAACTTTTCACCTTAAGGAAGTGGGTAAAGAGAAACAAACTAAACTCAAAAGTACCAAAGGAATAAGGTAATATAGATTAGAAGAGAGATTAAAATAGGGAATAAAAAAAGAAAATCAACAAAACCAAGAGCTGGTTCTTTGAAAAGATGAACAAAACTGACAACTCTTTAGTTCGATTAACTAAGATTCAAATAACTAAAGATCAGAAAAGAAATACATGTTACCGCCAATTTTATAAGGATAAGTAGAATTATAAGAGAAGACTATGAACAATGGTACACCAACATATTGGATAACCTAGATGAAACAGACAAATTCTAGAAACATACAACATGCCCAAACCGAATCATGAAGAATAAAAACCTTAACAGATTTATAATGATTAAAGAGAGTTACACCGATCCTTCTCAAACTCTTCCCAAAAAAATCTGAAAAACAGGGAATACTTTCAATTTATTCTGTGAGGGCAGTATTAACTAAAACCAGAACAGACCCTTCAAAAGAAGAAAACTGCAGACTAACGTCCCTGATGACTACATATGCAAAAGTCTTCAACAAAATACTAGCAAACCAAACCCAAGAGCATGTTAAAAAGATTGTACACCATGAACCGACAAGGCTGACTCAACAAAAATCAATGAAGCACATCATATCCACAATAGGGAAGAAAAAAACCACATGATCATCTCGATTGATACAAATAAAGCATTAGTATTCAACATAGTTTCATAATAAAAACATACAACAAATTAGAAATATATAAAACTATCTCAATATAATAAAGGCTATATATGAAAATCCTGAGGCTGGGAGATGGCGGCGAGGTAGGTGGGAGCGGAGCCCACTTCCCCCTGTGCACAGGTGGAACACCCAGCTGATCTTCTGAGGAACACAGTGAACAGCCAATGGGATCCTAGCACATATGAGGTTTGGAGGTCAAAACTGTAGAGGACATTGAAAAACCGATGGAAAAGGAGATTGTGTTGAAACGGTAGGGCCCCTGAGACCAGCGCGGGTACCAGGGCTGCTGCCTTCTTGGCGACCACAGGATCCTTGAATGAGAGCCAAGTCAACAGCTCCCTCCCCTGCCAAACAGGGAGGGCAGCATGTCACCAGGATGAACCTGGAGGCCTGAAGTCACTGGAGGGAATAAAGACGGGATGGGGGACCCTCAAGGGTGGTGTTCACCCAGAGACTGAGATGCTAACAGGGTCACTACTAGAGAAACTGGGGGGCAGGTGATGCCTGGGGAGGGGACAAAAGTTGGGTGGTGATGGACCCTGACCCAGATAGTCTATGGTCTGGCTGGAAAGTTGGCTGTGCGAGAGGCCAGGCACCTGTTAAGAGTGGCAGGATTGAGCAGGAGGATTTTATTTTAAAAAGGCTCTTGGACGCTGTTTAGGCAACTCTCCCACAGCGGCCACCCATGCCAGACTGACCACCTCCTTGCAGCCACCAGGAGCCATGCCCCCACCCCCACTGCACCAGCGGCCATGGCAGCACCCCACCACCATGTGCCCAGCTGGCTCG